ATTTGAATTTAGAGAAGCAATACAATTACGGTCTTCATATTCAGAACTTCTGTTATCTTTAATAGATGATGATCACTCAAATTTAATCAACTTTTATAAGCATTTGCAGTCATATTTCTTTCCTCACCCAAAAACCATAACAATATGAACTACAGTACTTCAACCCATGCTTCAGAAATTATTTGCTTATATAATGTTTCAACCAATACTTTGAACACCCCCAGCTACACTAAATTTTAAGTAAGCAGGATACATGATGAAATCTTGATTTCTGCATTCAGTCTAGCTGTTAAGTTAATGCTGTTCAGGCCATACCACAGCTTTACATGCTGTTGGGTTTTTTTGAGAACAATTTTCTACACCGTTCCACTGTTCTTCAGGTTTTTTTGTTGGGAGACAGAAGGATGGCAGATTCTCACCTCACAGTCTTTTGGATTCTGGTCTACAATCATATCCAAAACAGGCTGTAGATCAGTGACTTCATGAGGAAACAGTCGGAGGAAAAGTTTGTATCCTCTCACCTGAAACACAGTTTCAAAATTCATTAAGTCATCTGTCATCATGAAGCACTGAAGAAAAAGCAAAGACCCACTGATGAGTTATTATACAGACCTTGTGTAATAAGGACAGAATCAACCTTGAGATTCTGGCATTTTTTACAAACGTAGTAACTGAATTCATGAAAGGCTATTTCTTTAAAACAAGGAGCCTCCAAAGACTGCCCAGTTTAGCTCCTTTGCTCAAGCAAGGTCACAGAATGACAGGGGTTGGAAGGGACTTTGGAGATCACCTAGTCTGATCCCCATGTAGGAACAGGTCCCTAGTGTAGGTTACACAGGGGTTTGGAAACCTCCACAGGACGAGAGCCCAGACTCTCTGAGCAGCCTGTCCCAGGGCTGTGCAACCCTCAAAGGAAAGAAACTTTTCCTCATGTTTGCAGCACGTTGGTCAAGACCACATCTATTCAGTAGGGTTTGGAGTAGCTCCACTGATGGAGACTCCACAACCTTAATCATTAATTCCAGCATTCAGTCCTTACAGTAAAAAAGCCTGTTTCAGAATTTCAGATGGAAATTCCACAATCTAATTCTTCACCATGCTTCACTCTTCTTCTTAAATTACGACTCATGATACTTCCAATCCACATTTTTAATGCATTCTGAGCTTGCTTTTTACTACTCTGTATCAATGAATAGGATGAAACATCAAGGAAATGCTGCTTTACCCTCCTGCTCCCCCCAAAAAAAAAACAACTCATCTTCCACACTACAATTTAAAAGGTTTTAGTGCTCAGACAATGCTTAGTTTTTTTTTTTTTCCTATGTTTAAACTAACACATTTTCAAGTTATTTAAACAGCAAAGAAAGATACTGGAAATTTACATACTTTCAGTTACAGAATGGTTAATTTTGGTTGTGAGGTTTTTGTACCTTTGTAATGATGTAAAGAAACTTAAAAGCCAAGTGAAAAAGCACAGGAGGAGATCCACTGTCTCGTATTATATCCAGCAATATATTCATCATCCACTCTAATGAAAGGAGAGGAAAAAAGACAAGTGAGAACACATACAGTTTGATGACAGTTTCTCATACTTCCAGTAGTTGGGAGTGAGGTAGTAGTCATACAATATATCTAATGTTAACAACAGCAATCTTGCAATGCATGTCTGAACTTTCTAGCTTAAGAGATTTTCAAGTATACATACAAAAATTGTTGTGTAAAAGATGGCATTCCTACCTAAGTGGCGATCCAACAAGTGAGGCTGCTCCTGGTACTTGTCCATTATAACTGAAAAGAAAAAGAGGTATCTGTGATTAATAATTCAAATTAAAGGCCCTTAAAGTCATTAATCATGAGAGACACACCCTGGATTCTTGACAGCTTTAGTTTAAGATTTCAATATCCTGAAGCTAAGTGCTGCCACACTTTTAAATGAGGTCAAGGAGCAAGAAAACAACAGAGAAATTAGTGTAAAAAAAATACAAGCACTCTGCAGTAACATCATTTACCCATACTGAATCAAAAACTCTCTTCCAGGAGTCTCTCAAATTACTGTTAACTAAAAGTTATACTTCAGAACGAGATTAAATGATGAATACTGCCTGGGTCATCTTACGTATTTGATCAGAAAATTGCTTTTTAATTAGAAATCTTTCATTTTCCTGCATTTGTTTCTATCAAACAATTTTGCTCTCTATCCCTTTCTCCATCTCACATCAAACTCAGGTTTGACATAATACAGCTTCAACAGTGCTGCAGCTGACCACTGGATGACACTGCACTACCACCGTCAAGACACCAGCCAGTCCAACGGCATCCTTGCACCAACTTGTGCAGTTATTCATTATTCCATCAAATTGTTTTCCCGGATCAGAGTGTGGTAATACAAAATAAAACCCCAAATAAAAATGCTGAAGAGAATGAACTGCAGAAAATACATATTCTAATGCTATTATGAAAAAAAAAAAAAAAGACTTCTAAAATTTTCCTCCATAACTGTTGTTGCAAATCAAATTACCTAATCTAGACTTCTGCTTTAACAGTTCACAAAAAAGCACCACGTGTTTTTATGAACATTTTGGAGATCTGCATCAAAATCCTCTGTAATTGATTATTACTGCATTGTCTGCATATAGATTAAGATAATCCCTAACCTTCAAAATTTGTAAGGCACTCATTCTAAGCAATGATACATTCTTCTGATACCTATGGTACACCTTCAGCTGACACATTCCCAAGAAGTGCAGAAGCCAGTTTTGCAGTGGGTAGCAATGAGATTTTTCTCCTAGGCATGTGTGATAGAGCAGAAATGCACAGAGGGAGTGCACAAATACAGCCTGAATAAACAGAGAATGATGTGCAAGTGGGGCACAGCAGCTCGATCAGCTGGATAAGATGATGGCTTTTCAGTAGCCGATGACTTTAAATACGTGCTTTCCTACCCCAGCAAACTCTGCCATTTCACCTGTGAGACTGAATATTCAGAACATGAGTGTTCATACTACTTCCTTCTGATGGACCACTGTCAGCTGATTCAATGGAACAACTTCTGCTGGGGCAGATTTCCAAATCTGGGCTTTCCTGGTTTATTGTTGGCCTACCTAGATTCATAAGAAGCACAGACAACGAAGCAGGATAGGTTTCAGCAATTTCATCATTTCTCCAAAAGCGATACAAAGCCCTAATCCACTTCGTGTGATTTTAGATACACAAAACTGAGTTTTGCAAGTTTGTCACCTGGTTGGCACATCACATCAAATACAAAGCTGGGGGCTCTGTAAGCCATTTGCCTCAGACAGGACCAGGTGAGCACCGTTACAGACATCTGTGCTGGAAGAGGTCTGGGAGCAGAACTGCTGAGCTGCTCCCATCACACAGCACAGCTCTGCTGCTCACACCTGAGGCTCCTCCTCAGAAATAACACCACGTGTGTGCTGCCCTTCATGTTTTACACGAAACATGAAACTAAAAACGTTGAATTACAGTTTACAAGCTCAAGGTGGATTGCAGTTAAGTGCAAAAAATGACCTTATGTGGCAGAAGCACACAAATGTCAGCTCAGTTGCTTTCTGTGCATGGAGCAGGAGGTTCCACACGGCTCAAGCTCAGGGCCCCTTAAACCCAAGCCATGGGTGGAAGCAAAACACATATCCGGGAAAAAAATAAAACTGTAAATCCCAACTACCTGTTGAAGAAAAGTTTCAAGGTTACAATTAGCGCACAATTATTAATTTAAAAAGAAAAAAACAAAAAAACAAAAAAAAAAAAACAAACCCTAAAACCACCAACGCCTCACCGATGAATTTCTCCACGATCACCTCCTGGGCCACCGGGTCCCCGCACACGGTTCTCAGGTTCCCGAGGAGCGCCCGCACCTCCTGGCTCTCGGTGAAGCTCTCCAGGATGTTTCCCCTGGAGATGACATCCGCCTCTCGGCTCCCGCTTTCCTCCGAGCCGACTCCATCAGTCTCTCCCACAGCCATCGCCGAGGCCGCCACGGCGCTCCGCGTCACAGCGCTGCGTGTTGGAGCGCCACCACAGCCACGTTACCGCGCCCAGGCCGCGCCCGCCCCTCACACGCGGCTCCGAGATGGCGACAGCGCCGGGACCCCGAGCCGCACCCCGGTTTACCCAGGCAACCGGCGCAGCGCGGCGCTGCTCAGAGCCGGCCCTCCTCCTACGGAGCGCCGCGAGGGACCAAAGAACGCACGGACGGCCCCACCCCTGTGCGGGGCGGGGGCGGAGGGAGCGGGAAGCGCTGTGCTGCGGGGAGATGGGAGCAGTTGTGCTCCGCTAGGGAGCGGGGAGAGATTCTCGCGGCTGTGACACCTGAAGAAATTTGGCTTCAAGCACTGGGCATAGGCTGCAGAACGCAAAAGGCAGCTGGAGTGCAGCGTTATCTGTAAGCACCGCCATTTCTTAATCACGTCATGGTCGAGGTGCGGAGGGTAATGGTCGGCTCTGATCTAAATCACAAAGGTGCAATAGCTGTAGCTTTCAGCGTCCCAGAGAGGGGAAGAGATACAAGCAGGTTCACGTGTGCCCCTACCAGCAGTCACCAGTCCTCAGCTCAGCATCGTTCCTGGAATGTCCCTGAGGAAGATGTACCCCTCAGACCACCGCGTTTCCACCCACTTCCATCCCACAGCTCCTTTTTGCCACACGACAGCACGACGTGGCCGCTCCTCTCTTGGCACTTGAAGTCAGAACCTAAAGCAGACACTGAATAAAGTCACCTCACGTTGTCCTTTCGCTTGACAGAGAACACATCCCAAGGAGCGGGCCCCAAAGATGCTTGGGTGAGGTGGAGCATCCCCAGAGGTGCTCATTCATTCCCTATCGGCTGCAAAAGGAAATACAGGGGAAAACTTCAGTCAGCACAGGACAGATGGTCTCTCTTTCCCAGGAGCTGGCAACTCCAACCATACTCAAATATCCATCTTCAGGATCACGTTCATTAACACAACACACAACCACAGAAGGCAGGTACACCGAACAGCTGATTTCTGCAACACAAGTGTTTTATTGAACAACAATAAATCTTAAGCTCACGTGTATTTTCAGTGCATTACCTGAATTGCAAATATGAATTAATGCTAGGACTCAGCACTTCACTGTTCAGACAGAACTTCAACTGTATTCTCACTCTGTTTTTCCACTTTTTCACTGTTATAATTGTATCGAGCGTTATAACACCAATAACTGTAGCTCAAAATCAAAGAAAACAAAAAAACCTACAAAATATTTAGATAATTAAGTCATTTTTAAATAGTGTAAGTTACAAAAAAAAATTAAGAATTCTTTATAGCACATCCGCTTAAAACTTAAATGAAGTCATTTAATATTTCTGAATATAATATTTAGGGTATGAATCACCACAACAATCTGAACCCTGAAAATCTAAGTTCTATCATTCTCATTTCCTAATACACTTAAGCATTCGTTGGACCATATTTACTTTTTTTTTTTACTACTTTCATTTAAAAAAATAAGTCGCTAACATACCCTTGCTCACACTGTACGCCAGCATCTTTGTTGCACAGTTTTCTCCCCACATCTTCTCTGCCTATTTTCTATAAAAATAGAACATTAGGAATACTAAAAAATTCCTTCAATAAAGCAGCACTGGCAGAGCAGACTAGCTTTGCCTACTGTGCATTATCATCTAAAAACGAAATACATCAGGCACCAACCAACACAGCAAAATTGATACTTGTTATGCAAACAAGTATCCCTCCTACTGTTTGCTATGTTTTCACAGTTATTTAAATGTTACTATCAGAGTATTACACATAATAAAACCTATTAAAACTGCGTTATTATCAAACTGGTGGTAACAATCCATTTTCTGACCATATAATTAATTACCAAGGAACTACAGCAGCATCACTGTTAAGAAAAAACTACTCAACTGAATTTCTCAGAGAAACACAAAAAAACATTTAATTACATTAAAATAAATATAAGGAATGCTAGCATCAGTTGCAGTCTAAAGGACCCTGCCTACCTTTAAATCAAAAAGAGAATGTTTTTATTTTCCCATTCATAAAATCTGACTTAAATTTGGATCATAACCTTACATTGAAAAGAAACAAAGACAAACATAAATGGGTAAAAGGACCAAAACAAAGACAGAAGAGAAAACTGAAGCAAAAGAAAACAAATGGGGTGAGTTAAGAAACCAACGATTAATTCCAACACCGCAGTCCCTCAGCAGTAACTCTCAGTAATGAGAGACCAACAGAAGTGGCAAGTTGCAAACAACTGTGGAAATGCAGCAGGTCGGAAGTAAGACTCTCCATACAGTATAAGGTGAAACTGACTGCAGTGCTACTTCCCAACTCAGCAGAGTCTTCAGAAACAATGCAGTTTTTTTCTTCATATGAATCTGTCTAGTCAGCTACTATATGTTAAAAATTAGGCAAACACTTTTAACATTTAGTGAGGCTCAAAAGTATACTAAGCCTTGTCGTGTGTTTTATCATCAACATTGATTTCTAGCTTGTGTTACATCTGATAGGCAGAGGCTGCTAATTACTTTGGTTTGAGAAATTAGTCCCTGTCTGGTTACTTTAAAAGTTTTCTCATTACATTTATCGTAGGTCCTCTGTACCCTGTCCCAAAATGGTTCCAGTGGTTTATGTAATTAAAGAGCTGATACAATTTATTTCGTTTCTCAAATCCTGGAGCTTTGGGTATTTTGCTGTGATAGGCAGAGAAAAATGAGCTGCTAAACCCACCAAACATTCCAGCAATGGCCAGTTCAAACTCTGAATGGCCATAGAAGGAAGCAGGGTCAAAGATGATCGGCCCAGAGTCATCCTCAGCCACATTTCCTGCCCACAGGTCCCCATGCAGTAGAGCAGGAACAATTTCTACATCAGAAAACATTTCAGGAATCTTTACCTAAAAGAATATGAACAAACATGTAAAAATAAAAGGGCTTAAAACAAAATATTAAATAAACAAAGTACAATAAGAGACCAAGCTGCTCAAATATCACCTGTTTTCAGTCCTCATTGAGCAATTTTGAAGTTGACGGCTATAAGCATAAACCTGAACTGTAAACCAGTAGTAAGTGTTTTGATTACTCTTGACAGAGCTTAGCAACTCATTTAATTCACATTCTAGTATCAACATCTACAATTATCTATTGTCTCTAAACATCAATAGTACAGTTGGTCACAAGAAATATAAAATAAATGGTTTCAGTGACAAAAGGGCAACAGTTGATATATAGAAACACATTTGTGCCATGGAGCTTGAGGAAGAGAGCAATACCTTCCTCGTTGTTTCCTAATCACTGTGTAGAGTATGACTGAACCAATCTCAGCTGTAATCCTGGACCAACTAAAAATTCTGTCTGGCAGCAGAATGTTATGCAGTTTGCAACACCAAGTTCGTAGCATTTAACATATTACTATCAGCTATAATTGAAGACATACATGTCAGTGCAGACTTGCAGGTTTATTTTCAGTATCTTATTAAAAAAAAACCAAAAAATTTGGAAGAGTAGCATAAATTCTTTCCGTTGACTGAGTTGTTGGGTCAGCCATGAAGCTAAACCAGTTACTGTTGTTCATGAAAAGCTACGTAAGCCTGTTCTAAAATACATCTAAAATTCTACTGATACATATTTTGTAACATTCAAAAAAACACACACATTTAAGATACAGTTCATACCTTCAGCTGTGACCAAAGCTCTCTTGCTTCTCTATCTCCATAATCCTTTTCAATCAAATCCAGTTGAGCTTGGAGTCTGTGACGAATAAAGAAAGAAGGCCAATCACTCTGCCATTCATTCACCTAGAAAACACGATGCAGACACTTAGAACTATTTCAAGATACACAGACAATATTAATGATACATATCAAGTTGCTTGATACCGACACGACCTTGGCATTAGACATGTTAATTAGAATTCTATTAGTGATTCAGTTGATTGCTCAGATTGAAGTGGTGCTTCCTTCCATGCCTAAGTGAGTCTGTCTTTCACATGAGGTGTAAGTTGAGGTTCTCCCTATTTTCATTCATTGACATTTTCTTAATGTGTTACGGAGGTACAGGTTCTGGTGAGCCCATTTCATTGTTCCATATTATATTCCAAAGCCTTTCTGGAAATGCAAGAGGATTAGTTTATTTTTATTAGGCAATGTGTTTCTAATTGGGTATAAAGCTGTACTTAATGAGGTCTTTCAAATAATAGTATGCTGATTCAGTTAATTAGTAGGATGAAACTCAGTCATGCACAGCCAGCAAATGGCTGATTTATCTCAGAGATAGTTCCAGTGTCTTAAGTGATAAAGCCCTCTAACAACAGTGGATTTTACTATTTAAGACCTATGCAGTAGGAGTTTAGAAAACCGAAAACAAAGACATGGTTGAGGAAGAGATGTTTATTCTATTAAATATCACAAGGCTAAAGAACCATCAAATAATTTCAAATTCTTATTAAGTTCACTCTGTTTGCTTGTTACATGCCTGGTAGCAAGCTACACACATTGAAGAGCCATCATATTCCCTTCATCATCGGGTCAAAATGAAGATGTAAAAGCAGAATTATTATCCAAAAGCTGAAGGCCAATGAAACAAACCTTTATCTAAGGAGTTTACAGAGCCATGTGAGTACATCAGTGTATGGGAACTGCTGAATCACAGCCTGAACCTCCAGTTGATCATCTGAGGCAAGCAATGAGTCAGCCCTGGGAGCACAGGTGAGGGCAATCAACCTGTGCTGCTGGAAGGGCAATCCACCTCTCCTAGCCCCATTTAAGAGCTGACTTTCTGGCAATCCCTTCTTTGGAGTTTTACAGTGAGCCCAGGACAAGGGTAAGCGCTCTACTTATTCTCTTTTTGCTACAATAACCTGCTTAGCTAAACTCTTGTTTATTTTATAATTATAACATCTGTATATTCATTGATTATACAGCCAGCTTTCACAAATGGGCAATGTACCTGTGCAATATAGCCACAGCAAGTGGCCTTATGGAATCCAAACTTATCCACATACTGAAATTCAGAGTAACTGGCTCCTTTACCTAAGAAACAAACACAGGCAGTCTTGAGATCCTTATATAGCAAGGTTTGCAAACACAGGACTACATTTCAGATGATAGGCATAAAAAAAAAAAACACATATATATGGGCAAATATAAGTTACAGTTTTTTCATTGTCTTAATGCCCTCTAAAAATGGAAAGAACATGAATAAACATGTAAGAATTCAAAGACTTAAATAAAGTACCAAAGCAAATAAGAGACTAAGCTGTTCCAACGCTACCCACATGATTTTGAAGTTGATGGCTACAAGCATAAACTGAAACTGCAAGCTAGTAATGAGTGTTCTTGACAGAGCTTAGCAACTCAGTGGCCTAGTACTGACTGTAGCCAGTATAACAACACACTACTAAACCACAGCCAAATGCATTATTTCTGTTTCAGTACACAAAAATGTATACTCTACCAATTGTATTTCCTTCCTTTCTCAATTTCTCTCCGAGTTTCTGGTTATAAAGATGAAGATCTGCTATCTGCTCTCCAAGCTTTGAAGAATATCTGGAGGATCAAAGAACAAAACAAAACTGAAACTAAACAAATGAACAAAACATTACAGGAAAAAACTCTCCGTTCACTATGACCAAGTGTAAGGTTTTGCACTGGACAGAAATAATAAAGTTCATGAGTACATAATAGGGAGCAAATAGCTAAACAAAAACTCTGATTATATGTGATAGTAAAAAGGGATAAATTATGTACTTGGAAAAAAAAAAACACCCACAAGGTTGCGTGCATAAATGTAGAAAATCAATCTTGATAAACACTTGCTGTATCTCTGACCAAGTGCTGTGGTTTAACCCAATAGACAGATAAGCACCCTTCACTCATTCGCCCCATAGAGATGGGGGAGAGCATCAGGAAAAAAAAACAAAGCAACAAAACTCATATTCAAGATAAAGGCCAGAGGATGTACAAAACAAGTGATGCACAACATAAACGTTGTATGCAGTGTAATGCTCACCACCTGCAGACTGATACACAGCCAGACCCTGAGCAGTGCCTCCCATTCCCTGCCCAACTCCCCCAGTGTTTCTGTTTTATTTCTTGTGTACCCCAGCCTCCTCCCTGCAGGGCAGTGTGAGAAGCCAACAAAGTCCTTGACTTAATGTACGCACTGCTCTGCAACGACAGCGCTATCAACATCATTCTCATCTAAAACACAGCAGCATAGCAGGTACAAGGAACAAAATTAATTTGTTCCCAGCTGCAATGAGGACAGGAAATGTAATATATAAGAAAATATTCCAAAAAAAAAAAAAGAGGTACAGATGTACATACTTGTTGAGGTGCTTCATCTTAAGGTACTCCATGACAAACATTGCTCCTCCCCCAGGAAGGTCAATTACTTTAATAGGCTGAGGCACTCTCACAATATTGGTTTTCTGGATTGCTTCTAAACTTGCCATTTCCCCCTCAAACATTTTTCTTGCCTGTCAAGGAAAAACAGCTAAAATCAGCTGAAATAGAGATGTTTGCAGCAAGTACTTCAGGAAAAAAAAAAAAAAAAAAAAAAAAAGGTATTGTTTACAGATGTACAGCAATTAAGTTTATCTTGGTAAAACGAATGTAGCTTTCAATCCATACAGTGAGACTTCAGTACCTTATTTTGTTTATTATTCTTCATTTTCTGTGGCAATCAGTTCCAGGGTAGTGGGATATGTAATATTCCACCTTGAACTCCCAGTTGTTTATGGAGATAAACTACTCAGACATAACAGGATCTCTAAGGATAAAACCCAAGACATCTTTCTTCAAAACCACAGTTGGCCACTGCTAAATGAAATAAAAGACTGAATCCTTAAGCTGGTTCTCATTTCCATACAGGTCAATGGCCACCAGATGAAATGAAAGTACAAAGTCTAAGCCTGTACTCTGCAGTTTTGAAGGGAAGATGTTGTTTTTCACAGCAGTTTTAAGGTGCTTTAAGATATTGATATTTTAGATATTGATAAAGCAAGCTTTCTGCTGCAGTGTATTGCAAAAAAATAAAACCAAAGCCACCAATTGAGTACTGCGTTCATTTAGTAACTGAAAAGCCAAGAGCTCGGCCCGAGCATTTGCAAGAATCTTATGGTAGAAAATCCAACCAAGGGGAAGTTTGAAACCTTTACAGCTTAAAACAAACAAACCAAATCAACCGAGCAAAAAAGCCCCATGAATTTTAGCACTGACATTCTGTTTTCCTCCCTTCCCATAGAAATACGAAAAGGAATGCAGTGAATGCAAATTCAGCTTTAGGCTTTTCCAAACTAAGTGCTACAATAACAGCTCTGTACTCAGCCCCTTGTTTACATGTAACAATGACAATTCCTGTTGTTATTATCACCATGCATTACATCTCATTTACCATTAGCTAAACTCACTATGTTAACACCTGAGGTAAAGTAGCCCACAGCTTTTAAAAGGAAACTGAAACGAAAGCTGAAATCAGTCAGCCTGGAAATGCAGAACTGTAAATCATCCATCAGCTGTTCTTACAAGAGAAAAGCTCTCTACATACAATAACATTGATAGTTAAATATCTGCTAGCATTAACCTGAGGCTTGTGGTTGATTTTAACAAACACTCGTCCACTGTCTGTTTCATAAGCTTGGCCTTGGCTAATATATCCTCCTCCCGAGCTCCCAAAGGCCTTCAGAAGTGAAGTTTTCAATTCTGTTTTCAGGATCTTTTCCATGGTAATTCCCAGGCTTCTGCAATTGTCTCCTGCTAAATCCAGTGCAAAACAAGATTAAAGGTTTGGGTCCTTCTTTCACTGTCACGCTGCTATGAGGCAGGAGGGGCCATCCACCAAATTAAAAAAATAGCAGCCAAAAAAAAAAAAAAGTGAATCCAGAGATAACGTTCCAACACGCCTTGCTTCCCATCAGCTCGCATAGAAGAAAAAAATATTCGCAGAATCAGATTGAGAGGTGTGTCCTGGGTCCTTTCTCAACAGCGCTGGGAGCTGCTGGTATTTGTAGTTTGAACCCGTTTTTCTTTTTTAAGCTGTTTGCTTTGGTGGAAGAGTAATTCTTAAACAAATCCACTAGAGGGGGGTTAAATGCAGCGCTACCAATCGCGCTCGGCTGTGGCGTTGTTGCGGTGCTTAAAGACACCAGCAACGAATTGTTGCTCTGCTGTTAAATCACACCGCTGACTGTAAGCCAACCAACACAGACACGGAAAGTATTTCGTTTTGTCTCTGCTTTGCACGGCCTGGAGTTCTGCTGTCGTTGCTGAGATATCAGAACATAATCTTGCAAGAAACAAGAGCTTTTTATTGCCTGAAAGTAATTTCAATGCAGTGAAATAGCGAGGTGCTTGTGGCTGGATGTTACAAAGTGAAAATTCAGAGTAAAAACATAAAACTTCTAATAAATTTGAGACGTTACTGTTCCTATGTGCTTCTCCTGATCTAATGTGATTTTTTAGAAAATAATCTCACTTTTTTATCTTATTTCATAATCTGTAACATGCAGAAAGAAGAGCCCTTGGTGCCACTCAATTTAATCTCTTAATGCTCAGAATGCACAGACAACCTCAGTTATAAAGTACACTATTCCTGGAACCCAGATTCTACATTTTTTGCTCAAATAACAGAGTATCCCTATTTATATAGCTACGACTGAGTCCTAGCATACCACAATCTGGCAGTTCCTGTTTCACATCCAAGCTTCCATAACCTGGCTGGACCTTTGCATTATATGTCTGAAGTAACAAGCAGATGTTCTGGCAATCCTTCTATGAAGTCCAGCTGTAATATTTTATAAGGACCACAGCACTGATATATTAGCTGTAAAATAAATCAATAGAGTTACAGAAAGCGGTGTTGGGGAAAGGTAAAGTCAGCACTTTCTCTAGGAGCCTTATGTAGCTTGTCCACACATTCTCATGGAGAACCTGTGCCTAAGAGCAGGCACAGACTGCAGAGGCAAGTGACTACACAGAGACCAAAGAAAGCCTAAAAGCCTAGGAGCTCAGTGTGGACATTAAACTACAGTTAGCCAGTGCACATGCACTCAAAGCAACTCGATTCATGGTTGTGAATTTCAAATGCTTTGAGGCCATTAGATCAGATGGCTTTATATTTGTACTGTCTGTGAATCAGTCATTTGAATTTCAGGTATATGAAGCCCTAAGGAGAACTCTGCCATTAGAGCTATGATCTCCAACTGCTGAAAACAGGGAATCACACCAGAAGTTTCAACTGAGCATCTGGGGAAAGGAGTGAAGTTGTTTGTTTGGTTGTTTTTTGTTTTTGTTTTTGGTTCTTTTTGTTGTTTTTTGTTTGTTTGTTTTTTTCCCAAAACATACAATGAACAAGGGACCCTTTTTTACTTCAAAGGAATATGTATCATATGCCATTCTTCCATTTACCTCTTAGGAACAATTTAAAAAAAGATAATAGATTTAATCCACAATGTTACTATTGAAGCTCAATTTTCTGCTATCTAGCATACCATAGATTTCTCTTCTACAGTTTCCAGCAAAGATGTCAATATTTTATTAAAACACTTCTTCCAGCATTCTAATGTTTTTGTTTAAACCAGGAATAGGATTGTGTTAATCCAAATCTATCACATCACTTACATAGTAGCCAAGAGATAGGCCAGACTTCTGTTTGCTTCAAGTCTCGATCAATACTTAACCAGAAATGTGCAGGAGAATGCTCTAGTTCCTTAACATTTCTGTTCATCCAGACAAGAAGCATCAAACATAATTCCAAACACAAAATGAAACAATTCATAAGCATCCCAGATGTGCCTGAAGGAAGTGCTTTAGTACACCCAGTAGTGCCCAACTGCAACCTCCACACACGGTCACTTCAGCAGCACAGTCAAATCCCACATGAGTGCTCCAGCTTCCTGGTTTGAGACTTGTCCTCACGTTATGCTGTACTGCAGGTTGCAATTGTTCTGTTTCCCTTCTCTTTTCTTCTTGTTTTGCTCATTATTATGTCTAACATCTGTTTTCAGATACCTCAGGATATACAGAAAACAGATATTCCAGTGCATGCCAAGAAAAAGATGGGTTTTGTCCTTTGGGAGAAAATCATCTGAAGAATTGTAAGAAAAAAATAATAATAAAAAAAGAAGATACATAATGCAGTCTAGGTCAAAAACAAAAAAAGATTTTTCATCATAAAAAAACCTCCATTCTTTTGACAGACATCACTGTTGCTCAGTTAAGAGCTATCCAAGGACAATTCAGAGCTCCTTTAATAGTGCAGATCCTATCTTCAATAGAATAGCACAGGCTGTAGCTCAGTATAAATTATCTCGGGAAATTTCAGTTAATTTCTTGAGATTTAATCCAGTCCTTGATGAAATTAAATAGCAGCTATTTAGTTTCTGGTGTACTTTAATTATCAGACGCCTTCTCCTTAAACCCTGGCACAAACAGTGCCTACAAAACAAGCTATGTATCACTTCCCAAACTTTCATTTCCACTACAGCAGTCCAACACGAGTTAAACCAGCAGATCAATTATGGAACAATAGCAAAGATGAAAAGCAGGAAGAGAAACAGTAGTAGAGAGCAACATTCCTACCTGCAGGAGAGAGGACACAAAACCAAAGAGATGGCAATGACAAAGAAGAATAGGGCACATAGGAACTGTAAGTAATGCAGCAAACAGAGGCTCAAAGCAGGTGCATGTTCATTAGGACAGTCAAACCATGGAACAGACTTGCCCAGGGCAGTTGTGCAGCCCCCACAATTGGAAGTCTTCATAATCAGAGCAGATAAAGACTTGAGTAGCTTGGCCTGTCCTCATCGTTCTGCCTGCCTTAAGAACCAAGCTGAACCAGATGACCCAACCTAAACTTTCCCAGAAGCTGATGTTATTGAAATTACGCACAAATTAAATCCCACCTCACTAAAGAAATTCTTATGGAGGTCATTTCAAAGTGTTTGGTTGCTGTTTGTTTTAAGATAAAGATGCAGAAGACCTGATATTCAAAGTATTGAAAATCAACAGTAAGATGCGTGAATACTGAAATAAGTGCCATTAACAAGGACTGAAAATAACATCTTGAGATGCCTTAATCTCTGTGTGCTACACATGCAGTGTGAGCCACCTTGAGAAAGGACCAGTAACATCTCAGTGAGTTTCCACAAGGGTCCTACACTGCATTTAAAATAACAGCTTGTGTTGTTGCTTTTTTTTTTTTTTTTTTTAAATCTTTTTTCCTTGTTCACATAGGAAAGCAGTCAGCAGAGCTATGATATAGAACAAGGAAATACTAAATGAGAGTATAGGTAGAAGGAAACACGTCTGCTAGATTCAGAATGTATGGAAGAAGCTAAGAGGAAGAACAAGTTGGGAAGGAAAAGCAGGACACACCAACTGTAAACTATGAGATAAAGAGTAATAGAGGCACACTGGGACACAAAACAGAACAGAACGATCAAAGACAAGAATTAAGAGTGGTACTATATAATATTCATATGTAAAAAAAAAATATTACCTTATGGAACTGGAGCAGTTTCCTTAGGTTTCACCAGCAGCTTGCTTTCAGAAAATATCTCATCCTCTTCCCCATCCTCTAGTTGAACTGCTGTTTTTGAGAATGCAGACCCATGGTATCCATGCTATAGTTCTCTGTTACATTCTGTTTCTATTCCTCTTTACATACCCCTGTCATTTTAAAATGGTACTTAAAACAGCTTAAAAAAAAAAAACAAACACAAAAAAACAAAACCCAATCCTAATATGCTGAAAACTAAAACTCTAAGCAGAATTGTTTTCATTTGTCTAACCTACATACAATGCAATTTTCCTTCAATCACAAAAATATTTTTTGTTCTATTTTGGGAAAAGGTCATCTCTGAAGGTTTAGCATTCATCACTCCTGCCTATGGCTACAGAAAATCCACTTTTGTTATGATTAGGAGGTGAGAAGTTAAAAGTACTTAACTATTTTAGCAACATAAAAGATGCTGAAGATTTGTTGAAGATTCACAAACCCAGCAATTTTGTTAAGTAACTTTTGCCTTTTTAGGAAGATATATGAAAAAGAGCTATTAAAAGATCTAAACAGATTGAGTACTGACAACAATTCTTCAATCAGCCGTGTTATGGAACGTGAAGTTTGCAGGATTGGTGTAAGAACACGGGCACAGTGGGTGCAGTTCATCAACAGTATCCACATAGCTGACAAAACACACAGCTTAAAAACTTTGTAGCAGTTGAGGTCCTATCTGCATGGGAACAACTAGTTATGTTTTTTCCAGTGACAGGGTACTCCAAATTAAGATGTATGGCCGTGCTTCCATCGCTGTCTTCATTGACCACCGTGTCCAACAAACTAAGGACTTAACATTCCCCAAGAATGAAAGCAAGCTGTAATGTTTTAATTCAGAAAACAGAGACAATGATAAGCAATAGGGAAAACTTTTTATTATGAAACAAGACAAAAGGAACAGCTATTCTACCAAGCAAGGCTTTACAACTTTTTGCAGCAAAGGTTCAACAGCCAGTGAGTACAGCGGTAGAACTATGCAAAGTTATATCAAGTGATTGGCTTCTCTAAAATTGCTTCCAATCCTTACAAATAACTGCAAAACCAACAACTAGAAAACTTTCAATCATCTTCCAATATCCAGTGAAAAATATTTTTAATTCAAATCATTCCCAAACACTTAAAGTTCATGTTAGGAGTCGTGCATTTATCTCACCAACCTGGCACTCCTGCACTGCAATTTCATTACCAGCCTATACCAACAACAGCAGGATTACAGTTTTGGTATTATCTTGAAAGTGCAACAAGCAGCTAATCTGCAAAGCTATCATTAAATCATTTCTGGCAGTGATGAAGAGTTGCTGTTCTGTAAGTTACATTTTAACTTCTTTTGGCTCCGTGTCTCTTATCCCAAGAGCTAAAAAGTGCACTTAATGGGCACTGAAAAAAACAAGTTAACTTACGGCACCTGTAAGCTAAACTACATAACTTATGTGAGGAATATGCCACAATTTGATAGCATTACCCTGTGGGCAATGAC